CAATCGCTAGAACTATGAATTACCCCAACCACACCAATTTGGAACGAACTGCCGTTGAACTTGAATTGTCCAATTCCTCACACCTATTGATTTCAGATCGAGCCCAAAACTTGGTCAACATCATAATATGGTGGGAGGAGTCATTTGATGTGTTTTGAGTGAAATCCAATCGCTAGAAGTATGGAATACACCAACCACTCCAATTAGGAACGAATTGCCGTTGAACTTGAATTGTTGAATTTCTCACACCTATTGATTTCGGATCGAGCCCAAAACTTGGGCAACATCATAATATGGTGGGAGGACTCATTTGGTTAGTTTTGAGTGAAATCCAATCGCTAGAGTTATGGAATACACCAACAACTCCAATCAGGAACGAACTGCCGTTGCACATGAATTGTCCAATTTCTCACAGCTATTGATTTCGGATTGAGCCAAAAACTTGGGCAGCATCATAATATGGTGGGAGGAGTCATTTGGTGAGTTTTGAGTGAAATCCAATCGCCAGAAGCATGGAATACACCAACCACTCCAATTAGGAACGAATTGTCGTTGTACTTGAATTGTCCAATGTCTCACACCTATTGATTTCAGATCGAGCCCAAAACTTGGTCAACAGCATAATATGGTGGGAGGAGTCAGTTGGTGATATTTGAGTGAAATCCAATCGCTAGAAGTATGGAATACACCAACCACTCCAATTAGGAACGAACTGCCGTTCAACTTGAATTGTCCAATTTCTCACACCTGTTGATTTCGGACCGAGCCCAAAACTTGGTCAACATCATAATATGGTGGGAGGAGTCATTTGGTATGTTTTGAGTGAAATCGAATCGCCAGAACTATGAATTACACCAACCACTCCAATTAGGAACGAACTGCCGTTGAACTTGAATTGTTGAATTTCTCACCCCTATTGATTTCGGATCGAGCCCAAAACTTGGGCAACATCATAATACGGTGGGAGGAGTCATTTGGTGTGTTTTGAGTGAAATCCAATTGCTAGAACTATGAATTACCCAAACCACTCTAATTTGGAACGAACTGCCTTTGAACTTGAATTGTCCAATTTCTTACACCTATTGATTTCGAATCGAGCCCAAAACTTGTGCAACATCATATTATGGAGGGAGGAGTCATTTGGTGAATTTTGACGAAATCCAATCACCAGAAGTATAGAATACACCGACCACTCCAATTAGGAACGAACTGCCGTTGAACTGGAATTGTCCAATTTTTCACACCTATTGATTTCGGATCGAGCCCAAAAGTTGGGCAAAATCATAATATGGTGGGAGGAGTCATTTGGGGAGTTTTGAGTGAAATCCGATCGCTAGAACTATGAATTACCCCAACAACTCCAATTTGGAACGAACTGTCGTTGAACTTGAATTGTCCAATTTCCCACACCTGTTGATTTCGGATCGAGCTTGGGTAACATCATAATGTGGTGGGAGGAGTCATTTGGTGTGTTTTGAGTGAAATCCAATCTGCAGAACTATGAATTGCCCCAACCACTCAAATTTGGAACGAACTGCCTTTGAACTTGAATTGTCCAATTTCTTACACTTATTGATTTCGGATCGAGCCCAAAACTTGGGCAACATCATAATATGGTGGGAGGAGTCATTTGGTGTGTTGTGAGTGAAATCCAATCGCTAGAACTATGAATTACCCCAACCACTCCAATGTTGAACGACCTGCCTTTGAACTTGAATTGTCCAATTTCTTACACCATTTGATTTCGGATCGGGCCCATAACTTGGGCAACATCATAATATGGTGGGAGGACTCACTTGGTTAGTTTTGAGTGAAATCCAATCCCTAGAAGTATGGAATACACCAACCACTCCAATTAGGAACGAACTGCCGTTGCACATGAATTGTCCAGTTTCTCACAGCTATTGATTTCGGATTGAGCCAAAAACTTGGGCAACATCATAATATGGTGGGAGGAGTCATTTGGTGAGTTTTGAGTGAAATCCAATCGCCAGAAGTATGGAATACACCAACCACAACAATTAGGAACGAACTGCCGTTGAACTTGAATTGTCCAATTTCTCACACGTGTTAATTTCGGATCGAGCCAAAAACTTGGTCAACATCATAATATGGTTGGAGGAGTTATTTGGTGTGTTTTGAGTGAAATCCAATGGCCAGAACTATGAATTACACCAACCACTCCAATTAGGAACGAACTGTCGTTGAACTTGAATTGTTGAATTTCTCACACCTATTGATTTCGGATCGAGCCCAAAACTTGGGCAACATCATAATATGGTGGGAGGAGTCATTTGGGGTGTTTTAAGTGAAATCCAATCGCTAGAACTATGAATTACCCCAACCACTGCAATTAGGAACGAACTGCCGTTGAACTTGAATTGTCCAATGTCTAACACCTATTGATTTCGGATCGAGCCCAAAACTTGGGCAACATCATAATATGGTGGGAGGAGTCAGTTGGTGATATTTGAGTGAAATCCAATCACTAGAAGTGTGGAATACCGAACTGCCGTTGAACTTGAATTGTCCAATTTCTCACACCTATTGAATTCGGATCGAGCCCAAAACTTGGGTAACGTCATAATATGGTGGGAGGAGTCATTTGGTGTGTTTTGAGTGAAATCCAATCTCCAGAACTATGAATTTCCCCAACCACTGCAATTTGGAACGAACTGCCTTTGAACTTGAATTGTCCATTTTCTCACACCTGTTGATTTCGGATCGAGCCCAAAAGTTGGGCAAAACGATAATATGGTTGGAGGAGTCATTTGGGGAGTTTTGAGTGAAATCCAATCGCTAGAAGTATGAAATACACCAATCACTCCAATTAGGAACGAACTGCCGTTGCACATGAATTGTCCAGTTTCTCACAGCTATTGATTTCGGATTGAGCCAAAAACTTGGGCAACATCATAATATGGTGGGAGGAGTCATTTGGTGAGTTTTGAGTGAAATCCAATCGCCAGAAGTATGGAATACACCAACCACAACAATTAGGAACGAACTGCCGTTGAACTTGAATTGTCCAATTTCTCACACGTGTTAATTTCGGATCGAGCCAAAAACTTGGTCAACATCATAATATGGTTGGAGGAGTTATTTGGTGTGTTTTGAGTGAAATCCAATGGCCAGAACTATGAATTACACCAACCACTCCAATTAGGAACGAACTGTCGTTGAACTTGAATTATTCGGATCGAGCCCAAAACTTGGGTAACGTCATAATATGGTGGGAGGAGTCATTTGGTGTGTTTTGAGTGAAATCCAATCGCCAGAACTAAGAATTACACCAACCACTCCAATTAGGAACGAACTGCCGTTGAACTTGAATTGTCCAATGTCTAACACCTATTGATTTCGGATCGAGCCCAAAACTTGGTCAACATGATAATATGGTGGGAGGAGTCATTTGGTGTGTTTTGAGTGAAATCCAATCGCCAGAACTAAGAATTACACCAACCACTCCAATTAGGAACGAACTGCCGTTGAATTTGAATTGTCCAATTTCTCACACCTGTTGATTTCGGATCGAGCCCAAAACTTGGTCAACATGATAATATGGTGGGAGGAGTCATTTGGTGTGTTTTGAGTGAAATCCAATCTCCAGAACTATGAATTTCCCCAACCACTGCAATTTGGAACGAACTGCCTTTGAACTTGAATTGTCCATTTTCTCACACCTGTTGATTTCGGATCGAGCCCAAAAGTTGGGCGAAACGATAATATGGTTGGAGGAGTCATTTGGGGAGTTTTGAGTGAAATCCAATCGCTAGAACTATGAATTACCCAACCACTCCAATTTGGAACGAATTGCCGTTGAACTTGAAATGTCCAATTTCACACACCTGTTGATTTCGGATCGAGCCCAAAACTTGGGTAACATCATAATGTGGAGGGAGGAGTCATTTGGTGTGTTTTGAGTGAAATCCAATCTCCAGAACTATGAATTTCCCCAACCACTGCAATTTGGAACGAACTGCCTTTGAACTTGAATTGTCCATTTTCTCACACCTATTGATTTTGGATCGAGCCCAAAACTTGGGTAACATCATAATGTGGAGGGAGGAGTCATTTGGTGAGTTTTGAGTGAAATCCAATCGCTAGAAGTATGGAATACACCAACCACTCCAATTAGGAACGAACTGCCGTTGAACTTGAATTGTCCAATTTCTCACACCTATTGATTTTTGATCGAGGCCGAACCTTGGGCAACATCATAATATGGTGGGAGGAGTCACACACATCCTGCGATCCATCCACTCGGCCCAGTGCACACTGCGGCCGTCCAGACTCACCCTGGCCCACGCAATGCGATCGCTGTATCATCACAACAGTACGGTCAGAGCAATCCGACCGTCTCACCACCATCGCAGGCATCGTTGTTTCCGCTGGGCTCTCACCTCCACTACGGTTCGGCCAATCCAGCGGCAACAGACATGCACCTCGGCCAAACCCACGGCGCTCATCTTGCGTCAACCAGCTCGGTCGTCTCGGCCGAGCCCCTTGTTCAAATGGCCCAGCAGATAAGACCACAGAACGATGTGCAACAGGCCTCACGGCTGTATGCGGCCCAGCAGGAGGCGCGACCTCAAGGGCTCCGATTCGAAGACGTCCGGCGGATGATCGAAGACGGCCTGGCCCAGTGGCGGCCAGATGCGCCAAGATATACGAGGCCGTACCCGCCGAAAATCGACCGGACCCCTCTTCCCCAGAACTATCGATTGGCAGAATTCATGCTATTCTCCGGGGACGGGCAGACCTCCTCCATTGACCACATAGGCCGCTTCACGGCCCAGTGTGGAGAGGCCGATTCGGACGCCCAGAAGCTCCGTTTATTTGTCCATTCTTTGACCGGCGCGGCGTTTTCATGGTTCATAAACCTTCCGCCGAACTCAGTAAGGGATTGGTCTGATATGGAAAGGATATCCCACGAACATTTCTATCAGACCAACCGAGAAATAACGGTCACCGAGCTGGCAAGGATGAGCCAGGCATCAGACGAATCACCTCGCGACTACCTACAACGAGTCAAAATATGCAGGAACTGGTGCCGCACGAACCTGCCAGAGAGGGAGTTTGTCAAGATGACCGAAGAGGGCTTGGAATTCGACTACCGGAAGAAATTCCAGGGAATCGAATTCCGAGACATGCATGACTTGACAAACAAGGTGGACAGATATGCCTCTTTGTTAAAAGAAGAGATGCAGAAGAAGACGGCCTCAAAAGTGACTTACTACAGGAATCCCATCGTCAGCTACGCCGAAGCAGACGGCTCTGTAGAGGCCGAGAGCGATGAGGTGGAGATGAGTTTGGCCGAAGTCAGCATAGACAAACCCTTCGTATGCAAAGGGCTTGTCAAAACCGACAATAGTCGCACAAAAATCCCCGACGCCAAGTTCGCAACGAGGGAAACAAAGCCCTATACTTTTGACCTAACAAGGGCCGAGGCTATCTTCGATCTGCTGCTGGCCGAGAAAAAGGTCAAATTGTCTTTCGGCCATAAAATCCCGGAACCCGACGAGTTCAAAGGGAAGACGTTTTGCAAATACCACAGTTCTTGGTCCCACAACACCAACAACTGCGTTGTCCTGCGAGATGTCATCCAGAAGTTGATAGACGAAAAGAAGCTCCAGTTTCCGGAGAAGGCGGCCATGTAGGTTGACTCCAAGCCATTCCCTCCACCCGTCGTCAACATGGTCGACGCCCAACTCCCCACTGGGTATAGGGAAATTCGTCGGGCGGCGAAAGGAAAGGGGCCGCTGGCCGAATTAGAGCCACTGCTGTGCGAGCGTTACAAGCATGAGATCGGTCAGCAAAGGCCGCATGAGAACAAGAGGAAGGCCACCGAGCCATCCCAACCAGCCATGAAGAAGTTTAGCGGTCAGTACGACCGTCGGCCTGCCAGCAGGGCGGTTTTCGACCGACTGGGGGCACAAACCCACGGTACCTCGATGAGCCCCAAGGACGAGGTCGCCCCAAGGCCAGTGAAAACTTTCAAACCACCGGTCATACGGGATGACCGCTGGTACCATGCACGGCCTGGGGGCAGGGCCGAGCCACTGACAAAAACTCAGCTGAGGAGAATGCAGAGACAGGTTCAGCAGGCCAGAATGCAGGCAACTGAGGCCGAAGGTTCCAAGCGCCAAAAGAAAATGGCAGCTGCAGACGAGACACCATCCACTCCAATCGTCCCCTCGGCGGCAAAAACGGCTAGTACCAAGCCTCCAAGAGCGTGGCACCCTAGGCAGGACGAGAGTCCCCGTGGAACGGCGGCCATTTCGTTTCAGCCGAAGGCCGCGGCCCTGGAAAGAACAGATGAGGGTATCATCGACATCTACCGTGGAAGGGACCCCCCTTTTTCGGCCAACGGTCTGTCCTTTCTCATGGAATTCCATAAAGACCACTCGGCCACGGACCTATACGGCATGACCCCTGAGAGCCGCGAAATCGTGGAGTTGACCCTCAAGAACACAAAGGCAGAAGGGCTCCTCATCACCAGCAGTTCTGACTCGGACATTAAGGCCGTATACCAAGCAAACAGGGAAGCCAGAGCGAGAGGTCTGCCAAGTTACCAATCCGACCTCAGCGGATCAGAGGCGAAAGCCCCCTTCAGCAAGGGCGATTTAGAATATCTTCGCCAGTACTTTATTGTGACTCTGGCGGACACTGTCTTTGGCTTGACGACCAAGGAAAAGGCTCGAGTAAGCCGCTTAGACGATTGCTTAGCGGCCAGGGACGCGCTGGCAAACGCTAAACGGGCCCTCAAGGAGGAGGTCGAGGCCTCGGACCCCCCTGAGATCAAAGCATCCCCAGCTGGTTCCCCGAGGACCGCAAGGCCTATGATCGAGGGTTTCGGTGATCCTCTCTTCGGACATGAGGCCGAAGAGGATCCCACCTTAGGAATCACCGACGAGGAATATGAGGGAATCCTCGGAATGGTCGAGGAAAAAGTCCTCGATACGAAATCAATAGGTGTAAGAAATTGGACAATTCAAGTTCAGAGGCAGTTCGTTCGAAATTTGAGTGGTTGGTGTAATTCATAGTTCTAGCGATTGGATTTCACTCAAAACACACCAAAGGACTCCTCCCAACATATTTTGATGTTGCCCAAGTTTTGGGCTCGATCCGAAATCAATAGGTGTAAGAAATTGGGCAATTCAAGTTCTACGGCAGTTCGTTCCTAATTGGAGTGGCTAGTTTATTCCATACTTCTAGCGATTGGATTTCACTCAAAACTCACCAAATGACTCCTCCCACCATATTATGATGTTGCCCAAGTTTTGGGGTCGATCCGAAATCAATAGGTGTAAGAAATTGGACAATTCAAGTTCTACGACAGTTCATTCCTAATTGGAGTGGTTGGGGTATTCCGTACATGTAGCAATTGGATTTCACTCAAAACACATCAAGTGATTCCTCCCACCATATTATGATGTTGCCCAAGTTTTGGGCTCGATCCGAAATCAATAGGTGTAAGGAATTGGACAATTCAAGTTCAACGGCATTTCGTTCCTAATTGGAGTGGTTGGGGTATTCCGTACTTCTAGCGATTGGATTTCCCTCAAAACTCACCAAATGACGCCATCCACCATATTATGATGTTGCCCAAGGTTTGGGCTCGATCCGAAATCAATAAGTGTAAGAAATTGGACAATTCAAGTTCAACGGCATTTCGTTCCTAATTGGAGTGGTTGGGGTATTCCGTACTTCTAGCGATTGGATTTCCCTCAAAACTCACCAAATGACGCCATCCACCATATTATGATGTTGCCCAAGGTTTGGGCTCGATCCGAAATCAATAAGTGTAAGAAATTGGACAATTCAAGTTCAACGGCATTTCGTTCCTAATTGGAGTGGTTGGTGTATTCCATACTTCTAGCGATTGGATTTCACTCAAAACACAGCAAATGACTCCACCCACCATATTATCATGTTGCCCAAGTTTTGGGCTCGATCCGAAATCAATAGGTGTAAGAAATTGGACAATTCAATTTCAACGGCAGTTTGTTCCTAATTGGAGTGGTTGTTGTATTCCACACTTGTAGCGATTGGATTTCACTCAAAACTCACCAAACGACTCCTCCCACCATATTATGCGGTTGCCCAAGTTTTGGGCTAGATCCGAAATCAGTAGGTGTAAGAAATTGGACAATTCAAGTTCTACGGCAGTTCGTTCCTAGTTGGAGTGGTTGGTGTACTCCAGACTTCTAGCGATTGGATTTCACTCAAAACTCCCCAAATGACTCCTCCCACCATATTATGATACTGCCCAAGTTTTGGGCTCGATCCGAAATCAAGAGGAGTAAGAAATTGGACAATTCAAGTTCAAAGGCAGTTCGTTCCAAATTTGAGTGGTTGGTGTAATTCATAGTTCTAGCGATTGGATTTCACTCAAAACACACCAAAGGACTCCTCCCACCATATTTTGATGTTGCCCAAGTTTTGGGCTCGATCCAAAATCAATAGGTGTAAGAAATTGGACATTCAAGTTCAAAGGCAGTTCGTTCCAAATTTGAGTGGTTGGGGTAAGTCATAGTTCTAGCGATTGGATTTCACTCAAAACTCAACAAACGACTCCAACCAAGATATTATGCAGTTGCCCAAGTTTTGGGCTAGATTCGAAATCAATAGGTGTAAGAAATTGGACAATTCAAGTTCAATGGCCGTTCGTTCCTAATTGGAGTGGCTAGTTTATTCCATACTTCTAGCGATTGGATTTAACTCAAAACTCACCAAATGACTCCTCCAACCATATTACGAGGTTGCCCAAGTTTTGGGGTCGATCTGAAATCAATAGGTGTAAGAAATTGGACAATTGAAGTTCTACGACAGTTCGTTCCTAAAGGGAGTGGTTGGTGTATTCCACACTTCTAGCGATTGGATTTCACTCAAAACTCACCAAATGACTCCTCCCACCATATTATGATGATGCCCAAGTTTTGGGCTCGATCCGAAATCAATAGGTGTAAGAAATTGGACAATTCAATTTCAACGGCAGTTTGTTCCTAATTGGATTGGTTGGTGTATTCCACACTTCTTGAGATTGGATTTCACTCAAAACTCACCAAATGACTCCTCCCACAATATTATGATGTTGCCCAAGTTTTGGGCTCGATCCGAAATCAATAGGTGTAAAAAATTGGACAATTCAAGTTCAACGGCCGTTCGTTCCTAATTGGAGTGGCTAGTTTTTTCCATACTTCTAGCGATTGGATTTCACTCAAAAACTCACCAAATGATTCCTCGCACCATATTATGAGGTTGCCCAAGTTTTGGGCTCGATCCGAAATCAATAGGTGTAAGAAATTGGACAATTCAAGTTCTACGACAGTTCATTCCTAATTGGAGTGGTTGTTGTATTCCGTACATGTAGCAATTGGATTTCACTCAAAACACATCAAATGATTCCTCCCACCATATTATGATGTTGCCCAAGTTTTGGGCTCGATCCGAAATCAATAGGTGTAAGAAATTGGACAATTCAAGTTCTACGGCAGTTCATTACTAGTTGGAGTGGTTGGGGTATTCCGTACTTCTAGCGATTGGATTTCACTCAAAACCCACCAAATGACTCCTCCCACCATATTATGATGTTGCCCAAGTTTTGGGCTCGATCCGAAATCAATAGGTGTAAGAAATTGAACAATTCAATTTCAACGGCAGTTTGTTCCTAATTGGAGTGGTTGGTGTATTCCACACTTCTAGCAATTAGATTTCACTCAAAACTCACCAAATGACTCCTCCCACCATATTATGATGTTGCCCAAGTTTTGGGCTCCATCCGAAATCAAAAGGTGTAAGAAATTGGACAATTCAATTTCAACGGCAATTTGTTCCTAATTGGAGTGGTTGGTGTATTACATACTTCCAGCGATTGGATTTCACTCAAAACCCACCAAACGACTCCTCCCACCATATTATGCGGTTGCCCACGTTTTAGGCCAGATCCGAAATCAGTAGGTGTAAGAAATTAGACAATTCAAGTTCTACGGCAGTTCGTTCCTAGTTGGAGTGGTTGGTGTACTCCACACTTCTAGCGATTGGATTTCACTCAAAACTCCACAAACGACTCCTCCCACCATATTATGAGGTTGCCCAAGTTTTGGGCTCGATCTGCAATTAATAGGTGTAAGAAATTGGACAATACAAGTTCTACGGCAGTTCATTTCTAATTGGAGTGGTTGGTGTATTCCGTACTTCAAGCAATTGGATTTCACTCAAAACACACCAAATGATTCCTCCCACCATATTATGATGTTGCACAAGTTTTGGGCTCGATCCGAAATCAATAGGTGTAAAAAATTGGACAATTCAAGTTCTACGGCAGTTCATTTCTAATTGGAGTGGTTGATGTATTCCGTACTTCTAGCGATTGGATTTGACTCAAAACACACCAAATGTCTCCTCCCACCATATTATGATGTTGCCCAAGTTTTGGGCTCGATCCGAAATCAATAGGTGTAAGAAATTGGACAATTCAAGTTCTACGGCAGTTTGTTCCTAATTGGAGTGGTTGGTGTATTCCACACTTCTAGCAATTGGATTTCACTCAAAACTAACCAAATGAGTCCTCCCACCATATTATGATGTTGCCCAAGTTTTGGGGTCGATCCGAAATCAATAGGTGTAAGAAATTGGACTATTCAAGTGCGACGAC